TCCAGACTTAATTTTTTGTAATTAACGTTTTATTCAAACACAGCCTTGCTCATTTGCTTATGTACTGCCTATAATTGCTTTTGTGCTACAATGACAGATTTGAGTAATTGTGATGGAGACCTTTGTCTCACAATCTGGGGGCCTCTTGGCCCCCAAAGCCTAAAATATTTGCTATCTGGCCCTTTATGAGAAAAGTTTGCTGACCTCTGCTATAGAATCAGTCTTTAAATTTAGACTTTTTTGACTAAGACCTACAATAAATACATTTTTCCATGCAACCTGCTATACCCATACATGCATGTACGCATATTTACATGCACACATGAACATTTCAAAAACAGGATCTTTACTGCATGAAAGATCCTCCCTGGATCTTTCCTCCCTGGACATCACTCCCTGGCAAGACCTTGCTCTTTCTTCTCTATGTGTACATCCACTGCCCCAATCCTTCTGTAAGCACTCATTTAACTTCCATCTCTCATAAAGTGTGCTTCAAATCTCCAGCCCCAAAGCACTTTCTCCTTTTGTCCTCTCCCATAGCACACTTTCTACTCCTCAACTGCGGTGCTTCAAAGTTTCTGCTTTGTAGAGCAATCATCTATGCATCTCTCTCTCTCTCTCTCTCTCTCTTTCTTTCATTTTAGACAGTGTCTTGCTGTGTCACTCAGACTGGAATGGCATGGCTCATCATAGCTCACTGCAGCCTGGAACTCCTGGGTTCAAGAGATTCTTCTGCCTCAGCTTCCCAAGTAGCTAGGACTACATGTACATGCCACCCCCTGGCTAATTTTTTTATTTTCTGTAGAGATGGGGTCTTAACTTCGTTGCCCAGGCTGGTCCTAAACTCCTGGGCTCAAGTGATCCTCCCTGCTTGGACTTCCAAGTGCACCTTTCTTATATGCCCTAAAGTGCTCAGAAATTCGGAAGGGTGTGGTGCTGAGCATTTTGTATTCTACACACCGTCCAACACAATGCCTGGTACTGTGTCAGCACTGAATAAATGTTTATTGAATTGAAATAGGCAAATATTTATTACTAAAAGCGTAACATGGCTTACACATGGAATGTTTATCTCTTTAATTGGAAACTAAAAGTCTATAATATATTATAAACACTTAATAAATGCTTATAAAGACAGAGAAAAGGGATAACCTGTACTTACCATTTTTCATTCCAGTTTCTAGATTTGTTTTACTAACTAGTGACAGAATTATTGTATACGATATATAATTTCTAATTTTTTGAGTTACAGTCACTGGTCTAAGCATACCAAAGAGGAAGGAAATCACTCTATTTGTTAGGGCCCCAGCAGAAAAAGGGTATACTAGTTTTGGCTGTCCAGAGCACAGCTACCATCTGCATATCCTGAATTTAGACAGTAGTACCTGAGAAAGCTTGATATGGTCTCTTTTTGTCCCAGGAAACAAAAATGTGTGACATCTCTCATGTACTATTAATTGTAGTGTTGGCAGGGTCCAACTGATTCGTGTAAGAAGAGAAAACATCCCAGGAAAAATTCCTTCATGAAGCCCAACATGACTTGAAATACTCATTATGATCATTTAGAGTGAATTTGTTATAATCTGTTTAAGCAGGACCCATAGGACTTATTCTCAGAAATTCAAGTATGAGTTTATACCAGGAAATCAATTATGATATTTCATTATATTCATATAACAAAAAAGAAAAAACATATTAATATATCACTAGATTCTGACAAGGTACCTGATAAATCCAGCAGTCATTTCTAATAAGCCTCTAAGTAAATAGGAATGGGAACAATAGTCTATATAAACATGATAAAGATTTTACCAATATTAAAAAGCAATCATCAAAACAGATGGTAAAATATTAATACTAAATCCATTGCCACTAAAATTAACTTTATTACTTATTATTTTGAAGATGATAGCTACTGAAATAAGATAAGAATATGAAATAAAGGGTGTATGTATGTCCTCACTTATAAGTGGGAGCTAAATGATGAGAACTGATGAACACAAAGAAGGAAACAACAGACACTGGGATCTACTTGAGGAGGAGGGTGGGAGGAGCGAGAGGAGCAGAAAAGACAACTATTGGGTACTGGGCTTAATTTCCGGGTGATGAAATAATCTGTACAACTAACACCTGTGACACGAGTTTGCCTGTGTGACAAACATTCACATGTACACCTGAGGAAAGAAAAAGAGAGACAGAGGGAGAGGGAGAGGGGAAGGGTTGTAGATATTAGGGGAAAAACAAGAAAAATATTTTATCCATAGATTATATGACTGTATATTTTAAAATTCCAAGAGAATATAGAATTTTTGGAAAAAATCCACTACAATTAATATGATAATTATATTAATAATTACTATAATTGCAACTAAGGAAGTTGCAAACCAGAGAAAAACCATATTAATCAATAGCTTCTCTTCATACAAACATTAAGCAAATTAGAAAGGAAAATTAGGACAGCAGCATCAAAATTAAGGCAATTTTAAAGCTCTACAGGAAATATGACCCAGTTTCTTCAATGAATAAATAATAAGGGCAAAATGTAAAGAAGAGAAATGTAGATTAAAAGAGACTTAAGAGACATATCAGCCAATTACAATGTAAGATATTTTAGATCCAAATAGAACAAACTGTTAACGGGAAGGGGGAAAATGAAGATAGAGGAAATTATTAAGAAATTACTTTCGGAGTTCCACTTGTGTACTTCTCTTTAGGATATGGAAATCAGTAAGAGAAAGCTATTCCCATCCTAGCAATGGTAAAAGACCAGGAAATCTCAAACATGATAAGTTTTCTTGAACTCAGAGATCTGAGATAACAAGACAGTCAAGTGAATTCCAAAGAGAAGCCACTCCAAGGAGAGACAGATCCTGAAAGCTCTCTCAGCTTTGGCAAAGCACAGGAGAAAGAGGAGGCTGCCATAAAAAACAGATAATAAGAAATCATGTAAGAGTTTAAAAAATTCTTAAAGGCCTAGTATAGGCTCTCACGTTACTTTAAAATCATTTGGGGTCCCAGGTACAAGGGGCACATTTTCAAGTTATTTTCCACAGATCTCCACTGGGTCCTCACAAAAAATTAGGAACAAAGAGGGAAACGTGGTGGTACAAGTATGCAAGCAATGATCAGCTGCCGCTGGGAGACAAGCATGAAGCCCTTCCGCTCCTCAAAACCCTTCTCTCAAATGAAACAAACGCTTTACGCTCCTAGGTGTACACGCTGAAAACCTTCTCATCCCCAGGTCCAGAAAAAGATCTATTGTCTCTGAGAGACGGGCAAAAGTAAGAACCCTTCTGCCTCTGGGGAGAGGGTATGAAATCTTGTGCTCAGAATCCTGCACCAACACTAGTCAGAGGTCAGTGCTACCAGGGAAGGTTTAAGAGCCTGGAGATAGAACTCTATTTTGTGTCACAGACTTGCAGTCGCTACTGAAAACTAAGGGTGAAACAGGACCACTTAAAAACCTCTCCCGTACCCTTCCCCAGTTTCAGCACCCAGTAAAAATATGCCACTGCTGGGGGAATTTGAAACCTGTGGTTCACTGAAGGTTAAAACAGAAACAGTAAAACCCAAATCCAGTTCACCGCTTGACTAGGTTAACTTAACCTTCCACACTAATTGCCCCAAAAAAGAGTTGTACCCATTTCTAGGCATAAATACAATTGACCTGAATATCTACTGTTCTTATCCACATATTGTTCAGCATTCAGTAAAAAATTAGGAGATCTACAAAAAGCAGGAAAACCCTAACCGTTGTCAAGAGATAAAGCAATCAACTGAATCAAAGTCAGAGAAGAACCAGAGATTGGAACTATCAGACAGGGTGTTTAAAATAACCATATCTAATATGTTAAATGAGCTAATGAAAAAGATAAACAATTACATAAACAGATGGGGAATTTCAGAGAGCTGAAAAATATTTTAAAAGAGTCAAAGATAAATGCTAAAAAAAAAAAAAAAACAGCAGCAGAGATGAAGATTTCCTTCAACAGGCTCATCAGCAGATTAGACACAGCTAAGGAAAGAATCAGTGAACTAAAAGGTGTTCCAATAGAGATGATCTAAACTGAAACACAAGAAGAAAAAAGGGGAGAAATAAATGAAGGTAAGAGCTCATTTATCATCACAAATTATCTAACACATGTGTAATTGGAGCCTCAGAAGGACAAGAGATGAAGAATGGGGAAGGAGAAATATTTGAAAAAATAATAGTTGAGCATTTCCTAAAATTAATGAACAACAACAAACGACAGAGCCAAGAATTCAAGAGAACCCCACACGGAGTTAAACACATACATGCATACACCCCTAGACATATCATTAATATAATAAGACCTTTGAAAATCAAAGATTAAAAAAAATTGAAGTCAGCCAAAGGCAGGAGATTTTGGGGTATTTTACATACAGAGGAATAAATATAAAAATTAAATCCAACTTCTTGGAAATGACACAAGCCAGAAAACAACTGGATGACATATTTAAAGTATGTAAAAAAAGAAAATGTTTTTAATATTTTAGGTGTGATAATGGTACTGTGGTTATGTGTTTTTTTCTGAACAAGAGCCCTTATATTTAAAGATTCATCTTGAAATACTTATGGATAAAACAATAAGCTACAGAGGATTGCTTCACAATAATCAGGGAGGAACATTCCCCTGTGGATGAGGGTAGAGATAAAGGAAGACTGACCACAAGTTTATGACAGTTGAAATGGAAGTGACAGGAACATGGGGATTCAATGCAATATTCTCTCTACTCTTATACACTTTAAAGATTTCCATAATATAAATTTTTAAAGAAAGAGAAATTTCTAAAAAGAAGAAACAAAATGGACAAAAGAGGTAAGCATATCACAACACATACTCTACTAGGTTTTTCTGACTTTTTTGCCTCTATTTAACTGTTCCTGTGTAATTCACAGAAAGTTCACAGGTCTCCAAACTGAGATCACAAAAGGCTGCAGCCACCCTCCCCAGTAACATCAACCCAACAAAGCCTACCAGTGCCAAAGCTCTCTTCCCCACACAGATTGCACCGTCCTGAGTCCATCAGATTTGAGAAGAATCTCCATCCAGCTGGGGTCTCATATACAGGGACCTTCATTGATTTGGCCACTCTGAAAAACAAAATTTGAGAAAAGTCGATTCATATACCTCATTTTCAGTTTTTTCTCAGCATAGTAGGGGAAGTCTTTAGGATCTACTAATTCCATAGCTAGATTTCAGAACAATCTGGGTAGTGTTGACAGATTTCAGGATATCAAGTCATAAGTTAGAAAATAATAAATAACCCATTTCAATGGTTCTCAATTTTGCTTTCTCCACCATATAGAAAATATTAAGTTAATATACAGAATATTTTTTACATTTGTTTCACTTCTATACATTTTTCTTTATCTTTTTGGAAAGAGTCCACGTGGGGATATGAGAATCTAAATTAAGAGGGTATTTGGGCACAAACACTTTGCAACATTGTTTAACAGTATCTACTAAAGATGAACTTACCCATATTCTATGAACCAGAAATTCAACTCCTAGAAATTACTAATGACATGTAGCAGACACTGTGATGTGCTGCTCAGATTTACCCCGACCACACCCACCCACCTGCTCCCCAATGGACACACGCGTGCACACACACATACACACACACTTTAGACATCTTAGGATGAAAATATGCATCCTACCAGCTACTAGGAATGCTGATTGCTGACAGCTCGCAGATGTGGCCCCTATTCTTTGCCAAAGAGAGATGTCTCACCCCAAATCATGTTCTCATGCCTGGGTTAATCCACATTCAGTGACTGGTATAAAGGGTTGTATAAAGACCTGGCCTCCTTGCCCCAATTTTGCACAACTCTAGAGGGCCATTTCAGCTCCAGAGCTCCCCACAGGTTGGCTGAGGTCTTTGTTGTGACTGCATTTCAATCCAACTTCTCTGTGTTCAATCCTCCTTTCTCACTCCCCCGTAAGTTTTGATCTTGAATGCAACTTTGATCATGAAGGCAGAAAGGAATAAACTTTCTGAAAGCAAATATCTCTCAGAGTTGCTTCCTGGGGAACACAGTGTGCAATGTTGCTCAACCGGGTGTATATATAAGATTTTACAAGAATGATCATAGAATCACAATTTGTAATAATTGAAACAATTCTAATGTCCATCAAAGTAGAATGGACAAATAATTTGTGATATACAATGTAATACTATAAATCCTATTGTGCAAACTATGGCCACATGCAACAATTTGAATGACTCTCATAAATACAACCCAGACAGGATCTGGATTATGATGGCTTGACTTACAATTTTTCCCCTTTATGATTGGTTTATCCAGATACAATCCCATCGTAAGTTGAGGAGCTCCTATGACTTATGGTGGGGTTGTGGTTTCTACTGAATGACTATCGCTTTTGCACCATCATAAAGTCAAAAACTCTTAAGTTGAACCATCATACATCAGAGACTGTGTGCTGTGTTGCCAGCATTAAATGCATTTTTGACTTAATGATATTTTTGATTTAAGATGGGTTTATCAGGATGCAATATCATCTTAAGTTAAAGAGCATCTGTATTAAGTAAAAGAAGTCAGTAACAAAGGTATATACACTGTATTGTTCCACTTAGATAAAATTCAAAAACAGCCAAAACTTATCAATGCTGTCAAGTTTCAGGCTCAGAGAAGTCAAGTTTTTGTTCAAAGTCTCACAGAGGTAAGGGGCAGTGCTAGAAATGGGACCCAGATCTGCTTAGTTCTCCTCATGTTCCATTCCATTACACCATCCTGTCTCTTCAAATGTCTTAGTGCTTCATGAGGGATGTAGATCTCAAAGCAGGCTAGGGAATGAGCTGATACCACAGACATTGGCCTGAAGAGTTTCATCTTCCCCACATGCTAGCAACTGAAAGAGAAAAACACCAAATGCCTACCAACAGCAAGATTTAGTTATTTAAAGGCTGTGAGTGCAGGGGATGACCATAGAGTGGGATCAATGAGGGTCTTGAGAAAGAAGAGGAAGAAAGACAAACACAGGATAAAATACACCACATAGTAATGATTCCTTTAGGTTGGCTTTGCGGCCAGCTAAAGGAAAAAAACATCTAGAAACTCTTGCCATGGGAAGGTGAACACCTCGCTTTTCACAAACCCCAAATACAATGAATGTGCTCAGGACTGAAAAATTGTGTGCTGCCTCTTCCAGTTTGTATTGAAAAGCACTTTTCAGGTGGTCAGCTGTTATTTCAAATATTCTGTCTTCTCTCTTTTTCAATGGTTTAAGAAAGATACAGAATCATGCTTACATCCTGGTAGGAACAATGAAAGAAACCATCCGCAAACTGTACAGCAAAGGTAAATTTTCATTTACCTTTATAATAACATTATTTTCATGGTCAGAAGACTATGGAAGGTCAGAATAACATTAATTTCATCGTCAGAAGCTCAAGGAAGAGAGAATAAGTCACACAGAAGCCTTCTGGGACAGCACATAGTCAAGCCTGGGTCAAAGTTAATTCAACCAAGATGAATGCATATGGATGACAAATAAAATGCGCAACATGGGGCAGAGGTGAGGGTGAGAGTGAGGGTACAGGGTGTGGGGATGTATGTTCTCTGACCAAAACATTCTTGTAGGTTCAAAGCCAAGTTGGCAGGTCTGAAGGGAGGGAAAAGGATTTCCCCAGCTCCCACCCTTTCGAATTAGTCACTCTCAGGAGGTCATCAAGCTGAAGGCTGTGGCTGGATTTTAAAGGACCGGATACTTTTATAACTATGAGCCACAGTTTCAGCTATCCAAGCCAAAATAACAATATGGGTAATCAAATTCCAGGATGCTGGGTATGAGTTAATTGTGTCCTAGGGTCAAAAAGGAATTTCCCTCTCTCCTCCCTCTCCTGAACTTGGGATTCATCCCAAACACAGCATTCAGCAGATACCATGCGTTAGACAGGTTTTTGGCAGGAGGCCCCTGGAATCTCTGAAATCCTCTAGTATAAAAGCTGAAAACGAAGTTGCCCATGCTGAGGGGCTGAACCATTCTCCCCAACTGCTTGCCATTGTGTGGGGGAGATAAACATGAGAACTCACTTCCTAGGAAAGGCCAGAGTGTGAAGGGAAAAAAAGAAAAGTAACCTGGGCCACATTTTTCCTGCAAGTGAGAATGAGCCTGAAAACTATGCTGGATATAACTCTTTAGTCTAAATTTTAAAACCTCCTAAAATGTGACTTAGGTTGGAAATTGTCTCAACCTAGCTTTCCAACAGTTTCTCCCACACTTCCTTATGTGTTCGACGCTGCTAACAAGATGAATGATTTCCTATTTTCCAAATATACCCTTAAGTTTTGTTGCTGTATATTGCCCAGTCCTTTTATATGCTATTCATTTTTCCTGGATTAATCCTTCTTTCTCACCTCTGTCAGAATACTTCAAGTTGCCTGAAGACCTACCTTAAATGCTTTTCCAGCATAAAGCCTGTTATTTCATTTTGTGCTCTTATAATGGGATTGCTTGTACTAGATAATTTATAAAAAATAGAAATTTATTTCCCACAGTTCTAGAGGTTGGGAAGTCCAAGATCAAGGCACCAGCATCTGGTGTGGTGAGGCCTTCTTGCTGCACGTGGCAAAGGCAGCAGGAAAAGCTAGCCTAATTCTGTGTAAAGGCTTTTTTATAAGGGTCTTAATGCCATTAATGAGGAAGGAGCCGTCCTGGCCTGATCATCTCTTAAAGGCCCTCTCTGTGAATACTATCACATTGGCAACACCTGACTTTTGAAAGGAATGAAGTTCCAGCATGAATATTGCAAGTGACAAAAACTTCCAAACCATAACAAAGCCTGTGGCAAAGACTCCTAGGTGGTCAAAAATCCATCTCATCTTTTCGGACACACAGGTGGACTGTAGTTCTCAACCTCCCTTGAAATTAGCTGTGGTCATGTGACTGAGTTCTAGCCAATGAAACTCAAGTTCTAGCCAAGGGAACCCCTCTTTCAGATCTGGCTATAAGATCTTTTCATTTTCCACATTCCTTCTCCTTCTGCCAGCCTGATGTGGACAAACCCAGCAACCTTAAAAGCCTTATGTTGAAGATAGCTGACCCACGAGAGGGGAGGACCTAGATCTCTGAATCACCATCTGGTACAGAGTCAACTATGAATCAGGAACACCTGTTTTTAACTTTAGGAGATTGAAAACACCTTTTTATGTGTTTGAGTGGTTATACATCTTGGGGATAGTTTTATAGTAGCAGCTACACTATCTTAATGAATCTAGTCCTTTCCTCATCACTGAAATCAATCCACGTGACCCTTCCCGCTGTGGAGCTTCCGTGGTATAGGTCTTTATGTTCACATTGTCCTTGCACATGCTGTGTGCTGACTGAACACTTTCCCTCCACACACAAACACTATCACCACCACCAATGTGCTAGAACTTCTATGAGGGCAGGAACTGCATCTTATATGTCTTCATGGCTCCTTCAATGTCTAGAATAAAACAGTGTCTCTCCAGACTTGTCCTCAATAAATGCTATATGATTTCAGTTGACTAATAAATATTATTTAAGGAGTTGTTAAAAGGGTTTTTAAATAGCAGGGGACTAAGTAAATCTATTTTATGGTCTTTTCTCCTTGAAGTTTTCTTTAAAATATAATTAAGTCATTTCTGCATGTTTTATCTAAATTAGTCATTTTGAGAAAAGATAATTTCTCCAGGTATTAATTAGTGGGGCTATTAGGATGTGGCAAAGGCATATCTTAGAAAGACAGATCTTACAGAATGAGGAGCAGTGACTAAATGATCATCAAAGGTTTGAGGAGCAAAAGGACACATTATTTTTATCTTACCATTCTGATGGTCACGCTACCCTTATGTGATCAAACAGGATAGTAAATACAAAAGTACCTTAAAAGTGCCCTGAAAGCTCACTAAGCATAGGGGTGCTGACATATCCACCTTTGCGCCTTCAGTGTCCTGGCCAGTGCTTGCCCATAGTAGGTATTCAAATATTTATTAACCCAAAGCACTATATCATTATGTATGATAAGAGTCGACCGGAATATCATATATTGATGATTCTTTGTTTACCTTGCAAGAAAGTAGCCAAATAAACACAGGCTGAT